GGGTTAGATTTTGATAAGTTCTTTAGTGGGAATGACACTGATGAAGACTGCACATTGTAGTCGAAATACGTATCTGTCATGGATACCAAAATTAATTAAGTGGAATTAAATGGAAGATAAACCCTTTTGCTATTTTATTTAGCATTCCGCTAACAACCCAATTTCATTACTTCACACTGAAGGTGGTTTTGCGTGGATTACCGTCGTTCGAGGCGACTGCGGTGAAATCCGAGCTGGAGCGGTTCGGGCTCAAGCCTGAGGCAGTGTAACCGATGAACCGGCGTCCCAACCAAAACACCAGCTTCCGTGATCAGTTGTTCCTGGTGCATTTCAACCTTGACCGGTCGCTGTCCTTCAAACACCATTGTAAGGTAGTCAAAAACACGTGCGACTCTACACTGCGGATCTTGAAGATGATCGGGGCTAAACTTCCGCGAGGGCAACGCGATTCTCTGTTGGGTATCGGATCAGCAATCGTCACGTCGCGACTTGTCTACGGTATCGGGCTCGTCAGTAGAGCAAAGGATTCGGTGGTGCAGACTCTTGCACCCATCTACAACCGGATGGTCCGGTTCGCCTCAGGGGCGTACGTCACCAGTCCGATTCCAGCGATTATGGCTGAAGCAGGCACTTTGCCATTCGATTTAATGATTATGCAAGCCATAATTCGTGCTGCAATTCGTTTTATGGAGAAGGATTCCAGGAATATCGATCTTCCAGTTGTGGAACGAGCGTCCGATCGCCTGGCGACGATTGATGTAGAGCTTCCAAACATCGCTGTACGAACACGTCTAGCCAACCGAGAGTGGTATGAACCCAAGCCGCATATTGTTTGGGATGTGAAACGGAAGGTGAAAGCTGGGGACCCCCCGAATACAGTGCGTCCCATCGTGCAGGAGTTGCTGGCTAACCGGTTTAGCCGTGCTTTGGCTATTTATACGGATGGTTCTAAATGCGAGAACATAGTTGGAGCAGGTGTATTTAGTAGCAGCATTCAGCAAGCAATAGGTCTTCTGTCACAATGTAGCGTTTTTTCGGCGGAGGCCTTTGCAATCAAGTTGGCCGTCATCGCTGCAAGAGCATCAACCGAATGTGTTATAATTCTGTCCAGTCTTGTAAGCGGTCACGGTAGTCGACACATTTGCTGTGATAATTGACTGCCTTTGCCTCCGACACTTGCAAAACAAGCTATCATTGTACAGTACCAAACTAAAATGTCGTATGACAGGCTCTGTCATACGACACTGTCGCCGAAGACCGTCACGAATGTATGTATTTAAGTTTTTCTCATAATAAGAGCTGCTGATGGTGTGCTTGTGTGAATTCTGAAAATAGCAAGCAATGATGTCCTAGTAATAATATTTCTGATCAGAAATGGTTTGATTTACACCAAATTGAGGAATTACAAAGAAATCACACATGTCATATGATAGCTATTTTGATTATTTTCTTTTAGGTCGAATGTTATTCTACCGCTCGTGTTGTGTGAGAGAGACGACGGTAGAGCATGAGTGTTCGAATACAAACAGACTGTCGCGCACGACAACGAAGCGAGTGTAGTAAAAAACGTCAACTGTTTCAACCCCTGATTCTGTCTGATTCGGCCAGCTGTCTTTCGGTCATAGAGAGTGGTAGATCGCAGCATCCGTGGATCCAGGAAATCGAGCGCTTACTACGTGGACGGCCGATCCACCTTTGTTGGATCCCTGGTCATGCCGGAATTCGCGGTAACGAAGAAGCAGACCGTCTAGCCAGTGAAGCACGAAACAGTCCACCAATCAACGTTGCCGTACCAAGAATTGATTCCATCAAGAACATGAACCAAGTCTTTCGTCAGCTATGGGAAGCACGTCGGGCACAATTGACAGATGTGAAGCTGAAGGAGGTCAAAAGGGAAACGAAGAAGTGGATCGATCAGTACAGCTCTGCCGATCAACGCATACTCACTCGTCTGCGCATTGGTCATACTAGGGTTACGCATGAATTTTGCTGAAGAAAACAGCTCCGCCAGCATGTGCCGGTTGCTGGTTGTTACCAAACTTCCAGCTGAAAACAATTGAAACCATCGGAGTGGAGGTGAGCACATCACTTGGCCCAATCACCATCATCGCGGCCTACTGCCCCAAGCAAACCAACATCAGGGACGGGTCGTCAGTGGTCCTCCGGAAAGACATCATCAAACTCACCTGGAGGAGCAGGAACTTTATCATCGCTGGCGATCTGAACGCAAAACACCAAGCTTGGGGCAACGGTCGGAGCAATATAAACGGCATCATCCTCAATGAAGACCTGCAAGACGGCCACTATACCATCTTGGCCCCGGACTCTCCCACCCGGTTGAGTCGGTTTGGGGTCCATGCGACCATCGACATCTTCGTAAGCAACATGAGACACAAAATCTCGCAACCTGTGGCATTCCACGAGCTGAGCTCGGACCACTACCCTGTGGTGGCCGAAGTTGGATCCTCGGTAAACCGATTCGAAGCTTCCCGGCGCAACTACCATCGAGTCAACTGGGCGCAATATCAACACTGCGTCGACACAACCATCGACTACGATGTCCAACCGGGGACGTCCGAAGATGTTGACCGGTGTCTACATACCATCGAGGAGTCGATTTCCCGGGCCAGGGAACAACACATGCCAGTATCCAGACAGGTGAGTAACACTCTGAACCTTGACAGCCCTACCAAAGATATCATTAGACTCCGTAACACCATTCGTAGGCAGTACCAGCGTACTGGCCTGCCTAACTTGAAGACCAATTGTAATCGATTAACAAAGATCATTCAGGATCGCAGAAATAACGATTTTGCTAGTAAGATCCGCTCTCTCCCAGATTGTGCTAAGCCCTTCTGGAAAGTTACAAAAATTCTTAAAAACAAGCCTAGGCCCATTCCACTACTGACCCCACTGGATCATCCCGGCGACCCCGTGGTTCATCTGATAACAGCCCTCATGAATCTGAGGTTGCTGAAAATGCATCCAATCTTCTTCAGATTCCTAACATTTTTCCAGAGGAATCCGAGATTACGGCTGACGAACTGTTGGCCTATATCAAATCATCTAAAAACATGAAGGCCCCAGGTTTCGACAACATCCTGAATCTGGAACTCAATCACTTGAGTTCCAGATTCTACAACCATCTGGCACTGATTTTTAATCAGTGCCTCAGACTTGGCTACTTCCCCTCGTGTTGGAAGTCAGCTAAAGTCATACCCATCCGGAAACCTGGGAAGGATCCGTCCTCTCCTTCAAGTTATCGACCAATCAGCCTTCTCTCAGGGTTATCAAAACTGTTCGAAAGAGCAGTGTACCACCGGCTCCTAACATCTGCCGATGTAAACAACTTGTTACTCGAGGAACAGTTTGGTTTTCAGAAAGGTCGTTCGACCGTCCACCAGCTGACTCGAGTAACAAACATTCTCAGACGGAACAAGTATGTTTCGAAAACATCTGCCATGGCGTTGTTGGACGTTGAAAAAGCGTTCGACAATGTCTGGCATGATGGCCTGGTGTTCAAATTGCAACAGTACGGTCTTCCAATCTTCCTAGTAAAGATAATAAACAACTATCTATCAGACAGGACGTTCCGAGTCTCTCTGAATGGCATCTCATCGGATGCTTTCAACATCGGTGCCGGGGTTCCACAAGGAAGCATCCTTGGCCCCATCCTATTCAACCTGTTCACCTTCGATATGCCGGCTCTCCCTGATGGTGGATCGCTGTCTCTGTTCGCAGATGACACATCCATCGTCTACAAGGGTAGGGTCATCGGAGCTCTGACTACCAAACTTCAGAGAGGTCTGGACGTCCTGTCTGAATATTTCAACTGCTGGAAGATCCGTATCAACGCGGCAAAGACCCAAAGTTCCGTCGGTGAATAATAAAATCTGCCTGAACGGCACAGTGGTGGAATGGTTCAAAGAGGTCGTGTACCTCGGGCTAACACTAGACAGCAAGCTTCTTTTCAGGGAGCACGTTGTCAATCCTGTCCATGAAAAATAAGGTTGCTGTCTACAAACAAATCATCCTTCCTGTAATCGAGTACGGTATGCCAATCTGGGAGAGTTGCGCAAAATGCCATCACCTTAAACTGCAAAGGATCCAGAACAAGATCCTTAGGATGGTCCTAAACAGTCCCCCGCGGACTAGACATTCTGAGATCCACCTCCTGGCTGGAATTCAGACATTAGAAGAACGGAGAGAATTCATCCTGGAAATGTTCAGAGACACCTGTCTGAGGTCAAATCATCAGATCATACGTGATCTAGCACGTTAGGTTAAGTTATACTCGTAATTAGGTAGGTTATCACTTTTTTTTTTCAATTCAAATAAAACACATCCCCAAAGGGGTATTCTGTAAACTAGTGGAAAAACGAAAATATTAAGTTAGAATATCAAATTAAACAAAGATGAAGAGCCAGGTAGGCTAATCAATTGAAATGATAAATCAATGTACTACCGTACTACCATAATCAACAGAAATAAACATTATTTTACTACTACTATCAACATTATCCCATTCCGAACGCTAGTCGTAATCTGTCGTAATGGTCCGTCTCAAACTCGAATTATTCTGAAGAAAATCAGAACTACTGCCGCGCGATTTTATTGAGGAAATTTCCTACCACTTTTCGACCGGTTTCTTTAAATTATGTCAATCAAGAGTTAGATGTACACAAATATATTAAACTAACGACGAGGGTAGCAACAATGAAGAACGATTCGCTTACACGCGCGATAAAAAAAGAACACATGCATGCTGCTACTTGTTCCTGGGCAGTTTATGTTGTGATACGATGATGAAAGTGGTTGACTACTATTAGAGAGCCTATATTAATTTGTTTACCGTTCAAATTCGATTGCCTTCGGTTATCCGGTTACATCGGGTTGTGTTGTCAATAAAGGTGAATCAGACGGCAGTTGTTTACAAACCTTGAAAGCAATATATCTGGGGGCTGTCATCGAGTAGATAGCAAACGAAACGACACAGCTGATTATTCATAGGAAAACTGTAACATTTAACCGACTGTTTAATTTTATCATAACTCAAACTCTAGTAAGGCACTATACTTGTCTTGGGACACCTACTGTTCTAACATAAGAATTAATTACATTACCGCGTAGCACGCGCAGGTTTTTCTGTTTTTGAATAGGATAACTGATCATACCACATGATTTAACACTACTGTTGCTACAACATTTGTAGTTTCCGCGCTAGCCTGTTGAAGGAATGTTTGGAAGCGATTGCATTTAGGTATAGAAAATTACCACTAAAATATCTTGCAAATGTTTCGAGTTTGTTTGATTACGTTGAGTAGTGCTTAAATGCTCATCTAAACATCTTACTTGTTGTAGCTAAGTATAAACAGAAAGCGGTGCTAATCAAACCAGTTTAATTTGAAATCGCTTTCATCGGTCTACGAAGGAAACATGGCATGTTCTAATATTCAGATTCAGTAACCATATTTTGGGATCACAATTGCTGCACTGTTGGCGTTAAATGAAGTAGTAGAATTCATGCAATTAATTGATTCGATTTAGGTATATATATATAGTTTAGTGCGTTATTTCAATCATAAATAATTGGTTACAAACGGTTTAAATCTATAATAACCATCTTCAAGTAAACCATTATAAAACAACTTTTACAGCACCTTCCGATTAATTGGAAATGTATAACATTTTATACTTATATGCGAATTAGAATTTTTACCATAAGAATATAATATCATTTCACACTAACCGCTAAGAATCACGTAAACTTTTGTAGCAAATTAACATTGCGTTTGCAAGTGTTGTTGTTGTTCATACAGTGGCCTCGGGAGAAGATCATTGTGACTTGACTACTACTTACTTACCCACTCTCGTGCTCCCGGACCGTGGCCAGCTTCCGTCATTTCGGGTGATGATTTTGACGGCGCTTGAGTAGCGTCATGGTGGGATCACTCAGCGAGTAGGTTTCCGGCTCGAACACCGGCGGGTACTCCATGTTCGGGTAGTCTGGCGAGGTTCGGTTCGACAGGTTGCTGGTCAACACCGAGGTGGTGCTTGCAGTCGACTGTAGGCTGCCAGCCGTTATGGTGCTGGTCATGGTGGTGGTGGAACTCGACTGCAGGGTGCCTTCGGCGGAGGGGAGGTTGCTCTGCTGGAATTTGAATCTGTTGTGATTTTTGTTGTTGTTGTAATTTTTTTTTAATATGGCGAATCAAACATCGGTGTCAAATAGGAATGAAAGGAATTGAGCAATCTAGGAGACGCAGATTGGAGTGCTAATTGGAGAGTTTCAAACAGAAAAAAGTATGGGGTTGTGTCCAAAGCACGACCGCATTGTTGGCGTATGACTAAGAGATGGTTTTTGCTACTCCATTCAATAATATATTGATAACAAAATAAATGGTTTAGATATTTAACTCCAAAATGAACAATCCATTATATATTTTTTAGAAACTGGGCATTGAATAAATCCTTAGATTAAGACTAAATGCTTGAAATTAGGAAATCAGTACCGTAAAACGGGGTATCTTTGATAATGCGGGTAACTTTGATAGTATAATATAAAGAATAAATTTACTCGCTGTGCTTCTTCAAAATAAGAAATATTGGTTCCATATTGTAGCTTAGGGTATTTCCGTTGATATCGTATATAGTTTTTATATAGTAAGTGTTACATATTTCATAAAAATATTAAAAAACCATTTTCGTGTTTTTCGCTTTTTTGAAAAAGCACTCAAACCATCACTTATGAAATGTATTTCCGATACAGCCATCACAAATTCAATATTGTATTCTTATTGCTTATGAAGTTTTCTGATTATATACTCATTCAAAGTTTCATATTTAAAGAACTAAGTTGTTTGTGTTTCACTCTTTTTTTTTACATTCATCGAGCATTATCACAGTAACCCCAAATCAAAATACTGAAATTCGGTCACAAAACTAAAAAAAAATAGTGCAAATGCTTTAATTTTTGTTCAACATATTACTAACGAATTAACTCTTGAATCCTCAGTACTTGTTTTAAAAATATAAAATTTGAAAAACTATCAATGTTACCCCGTTTTACGGTACCTTTATTATTCATGATTAGACTCCAAACATGTTCACCCAACTTTCAGAAACTTAATAATGTTAGTCATGGAAAAACAACTTTAGAAATCAAAGTGCACCTGACATCACACATTTTATGTTCAGAACTATCACAGACAAGAGGCTTTCAACTGAAACTTATTTAAGTTATTTAACTCTCAAGAGAATGGATTCAACCCTATTTATACAACATATAGTTTAATTGTAGAGTACCATTGAAACAGGTATTTATTGGTTAACGTTATACAGTGGAATGAATTTTATTTTATATTTTCTCTTTACAACAGTCACATGGATTATCACAGACTGCTGCGTTATTCAATACTCCTCCCTAATCCGAGACACCTAGTAGTTTGCAAAACTGTTGTTGTTTCTGAACGGCTAATGGCTTTGTGAAACCATCAGCTGCTGGTTGCTCCATGGTCGGAATGTACATCAGCTGCGTCGCTCTAAAATTCGCGATGCTGATTGTAGATTGGTTGTCACAATTGATAATTACTGGTCGCTGCTCGAATATCTGCGACCGCAAGTTGTTCCGCCACATTGCTTCCTGAATTGTTCGAGACAGGGCCATACACTCTGCTTTTTTACGTTCCATATATATCCATAAATGGAATCCATATATATATCCATATATCCATATATTGCTCTACCTTGTTATCTTCATGACGGCCTCCCAATGCTGTCCCGGATTGGCGCTGAACTGACTAGCTACATTCACCGCAAAAGCGATGTCCGGACGAGTCACCTGGGCTACGAAAGACAGACATCGAACTGCTTCTTTGAAAGGAACTGTCTTCATCTCCTCGGCTTCGTTCTGATTTTTCGGTCCTATGGATTTGTCCAGTCTTAAACTGCGATCAGCTGGCGTTGCTACAGGATACGATTCGATCATTCCAAAACGCTGAATGATTTCCTCGATGTACGCCTGTTGATCAAGCCAGAACTTTCCTTCTGCTTGATTCCTCGTAATCCGGATGCCCAAACAATACTTGGCTTCACCGAGATCCTTCATTTTGAATCGTTCGCTCAAATACGTCTTCAGCTTTCGCCTCAGATTCTGATCGTTGGTCGTAAATAGTGACGAACATCAGTTTGTCTCCACACACAGTACAGGCAACAATCTACTGAGGAACGAATCAGTTCGAACTTCTGAAGCACGCCATCCAGCTGCGCATTTCATACTCGGCTTGATTGCTTCAAGCCGTAAAGACCGTTCTTCAAGCGGCATACCTTTCCATTTCGATGGTCTATCCTCTGCAGCTGCAGCATGTAGATCCCCTCATCGTTCAGCTCTCCTTGCAAAAAGGCTGTAACTGCGTCCATCTGATCGATATCCAGATCGTATTTCACCGCCAACGTCATGGGATAACGAATCGTCGCATACCGTACTACGGGAGAGTACACCTCGTCGTCCTGTTCTCTGCGAGCATCCTTTCACGACGAGACAGGCTATGTACCGCTGAATGGTTCCATCAGGTCCACGTTTCGATGTGAACACCCATTTGTTCCGAATCGCTTTCCGCCCCTCAGGCAGATCCGCAAGCACCCACGTGCTGTTCTCGCTCAGTGACCTCAGCTCATTGTTCATCGCTTGAACCCAATGATCTCTGTTAGGCCGTAGCAGAACTTCTTCGTAAGTCGTTGGATCGTCCATCGCAGATTCACCGTTGGTTAAATTAGGTGGTAACTGGGGGGAAATGGTATCACTAGAATATGCTCCACAGCTAATAAAATCGTTGTACTTGGCAGGATAACTGCGCTCCCGATCGCTGCGCCTTAACCTTTGGTCTATTCAGTTGCGATGGGAGCGCGTTTTCAGCTGCATCCGCAACCTCTTCGATGTCTTCATCTTCACCATCAGAAAAACAACCACAACGACTTTGTAGTGCTGCTCTTCATTGCATCCATCAGCAGCGCTGATTGGTACCAACAGCTGTTGGAAATTCAGTTCCATGAACTCCACTGGCTGTGCAGTTTAATCACTCGTTAGGCTTGGATTTGATTCACCTTCTGCTAGGACTACTACATCTCGACTGATTTGAAACTCACCGCTGTCAGGATCGTACAAACGGTAGCCTTTGGTGTCCTCACAATAATCGACGAAGATCGCTTTTCTGACCTTGGCATGAAACTCCTTCCGATTCACTTTTGGAATGTGTGCCATCACTTGAGATCCAAAAATCTTGAGATGCTTGAGATGCGGCTTCTTTCCAGACCACGCCTCTTCTGGCGTTATGTTCTCCAATGACCGCGTTGGACAACGATTGACCAAATAGGCAGCTGTCGAAAATGCTTCCGCCCAAAACTGCTTACCAAGCTTTGCATCGTTGAGCATGCACCGTGCTTTCTCCACCATGCGGTTCATACGTTCTGCAACACCATTCTGTTCAGGCGTATATGGACACGTGGTTTGATGCCGGATACCTTCACGTTCCAGAACTTCACAAAATCTTCAGCTTCTTCCCACTTTGTCTCTCGGCTCTAGCTTTGAATTTCTTGAATTTTTCAAGCTCCTGATTCTTCCTTTCAAGAAATCCACGTGGCATCGTCCACGAAGGTAATAAAGTAGCGACTTCTTCCAAACGATGGCACCTCCACGGGGCCGCACAGGTCGGAGTGCACCAGCTCTAGCAATTTCTTCGCTCTTGAACCACTGGTGGGAAACGAAAATGGTGCCGGTTTGCCCGTGAGACACGACACACAATTGGTAAGTGCTTCATTCTTGAAGTCGATTCCGCTAGTCACTTCCTTGAGTTTCTTCAAGCTTCCTTCATTTAAATGGCCATGACGTTTATGCCACAACGCGATGCTGTTAACCAGAAACGATTTTTCCGGCCGACTGACACGATACAAACATCTTAATTTATTTTCGAAGTGTCAAATCTAAGTGAAATTTTTTCAAATGGAACACAGCCTAAGAGCAAGAAAGCGATAATTCTCCATTTCCACCCGAAATAATTTGCATTCTAGAGCGCGAGTATTACGAAATTGTTGCTGTATTCAATAATAGTGTATTATTCAGATAAGTTCTATTACAAAACATTGTCAAACTTATCAACTTGATTGCTCAATGTTATATCTACTCCAAGTCTTGTAATGTTGTTCAATATCACTTGGAAACATGTGATCTGGGTAGTAGTATGATACATGTTCTAAGATCATATTCTGAATAACATGAACATATTGTTTTTTTTTTTAAATCATCTAAATAAGGAACTAGGATTTATGTTGTAATCTTGGAACTTGAAAAACGCAGCTACCATTTAAAAATTTACAAAAATCTTCAATATTCTGAAAACATATATTTTGTTGCCGATTCAACTTACCTTCGTATAAGTGATGGGCGAAAACACCTCATGATCGATTACGGTCGGCTGGTGTTGATTCTTCCCGAAGAACGCCCTGTGGAGCCCCGGCGAGCCCAGAAGCTTCTTCTCCTTGGGAGTCTTCCCCGAAGAGCTACTGAACGAAAGCTTCGTAAAGTACGAAGCCGTCCGTTCCGGGGCGGAATTTTTCCGCAAATTTTGCACCTTCGAAGTGTTCTCCTTGAAGTCCGAGGAACTATTGCACGTGTTGGATTTCTTGATTCCACCGGGGATGTAGCTCGTTATCGTCGAACCGCCTCCACCGGGGAGGATTTGGCTAGTTGTGATGAATGCACCGGACGTCGTGGTTGAGCTGAAAATAGTCGACTGATCGAGCAGTGGTGTTCCGGGATGGTTTTTCGTGAGACTGCCGAACGGTCCCGATTGCTTTAGGTTCACATTGAGCGATGGAGTCGTTTTGTCCAGCTGTTTGGTTTTCAACGATTCCTTGTCGTTATTGCTACTGTGTTTGAACTGGAACAGCTTTTCGCTGCTCGCCTTAATATTGTCAAGCTTGGCTATGACGGCTTTGTTTTTCGATTTCTTGAAACTATCCCTCAGCGAACGATCCGATGAGGATGATTCTTCGTTTCTCCGGTCGGAACTGATCCAATTGAGGGTTTTCTTTTTGATTGAGCCACTTCCTTCGTTTCGCTTGGTATCATGATGACTCACCAACCCGCTGGTGGCAGCAGTGGAAGAGCCGGTCGCATTTTTCAAGTCAAACGTATCGTCTCCTGAAATCAATTCGTAGCCGAAATCTCTCAGCTTTTGACCCTCCTTACTTCTAGTGTAGAGAATATCTTCATCATCCAGCTTGAAGCTTTGAGCATAATCCGGAGTGATGGGGAGCCGCCGTTTCTGGATCTTATTGACCGCTTCCGGAACATTGGCCACCGTATTCTCCGGTTTGATTTCACTTTGCTTGGCTAGGGTCTTCTTCATGTTACGATCGTCTAGTTTCTCCACTCCCAAACAAACTCGCTTGTTGTACATGTCCTGAGCTTCTTCTGCCTGTTTCTGCAGCATCAAATCTTTCAGTGTGATCATTGAATGCAAGTTGCTGTGCGATGGATTATGATCCCAGTTGGAGGAAGATTGCATTATAGCCTTCGATGTCTGGAAATCAAACTCCACTAAGTTGGGGTTGGATGCGTGGATGAAGTTGTGCGGAGAAATCCGTTTGGTTTTCTTGGCACGGTTCAGCAGTTCATCTGTTTCACATGGATTCGGGGTGGATGGTTCCGAAGGGAGTGGCTCCACAATTACAGGAGGTTTATCCTCCACAGGAGTGGGATGATGTTTATCCTCCACTGGAATGGGTGGCAGTTTATCCTCCACCGGAGTGGGTGGAGGTTTATCCTCGACCGGAGTGGGTGGAGGTTGTGGCTGAACTACAGGAGCAGCGGGAACTTGAGCACTGATGGATGCCAGCGATAGATTGCTTGCAGTTTTGATCTCATGTCCTACAACCAACGGAATTACTTCGGTTGAAACAGAACTTGCCCCACCGTTATGCAGAAGCGCACTATTTCCGGGTACCTTACGGTAGGTTCGAAACTGCGACGTGGGAACTGGCATTTCGCTAGAGTTGGACTTTTCTACATTTTTGTGAGAGCTGAAAAATCCAAAAAACCTGCTCTCACTACTTCCACTGCCACTCGTCCCGCCGCTGTCGGAGTTAAAAGGATAGCTCTTGGTGAATTTTTTTAACGATCCAAAATTAAGATGGTACTTTTCCTGCTTGGATGATGTTGGAGTACTGCTGCTGCTACCCTCCGCTTGCATCGAATGTTGTTCCGAGGCCCTACCCAAGGAAGACGACAGCTGTGGTGAGGGGGTACAGAGCAGATTGAGCTTCGTTTGACTATCCATCAAACTGAACTCGTCCTCGGAGCTGTCGGTCTCGGAGAACAATTCCTTCACACTATGATCGGCTGAGCCACTGCCTGGGGCTGTACTGTTCCCCTTCAGTGTAGCTTGCTTGATGTATTCCATCCATTGTCCCAGAGCTTCCTGCGTTTCAGCAGCAAAATAGAACGTCTTATTCGGATGATACACTTTGAAAGCATACGGTTTCGAGTGAACTTCCTTCGCTAAGGAGATCGTAAATCCCGACAGGAATATCATGCTGTTTGCCTTGTGGGAGTCTTTAGATTTGAAACCGTAGAGAGTAGTTTCAATGAGCACAAAGTAGTACTTGGCCCAATAGGCCAGACCGCTTCGGTCCTTTGTTCTTCGGTACAGATGGCCTTGAATGTCACTGACACAAAGCGTCTTCAGCGAGACCTTTCTCCGCTTGGACAGTATGGAGTTCTTCTTTTTCAACGTCAAGCTTTTCGTTTTGTTCGGGGTGTAGAGCTCCGAGGGGGATTCGACGGAACCTTCTAGGAAATGTTTTGCCACTGGCACCCGTCGAGGAGGGGCTACGACTCTGTCCGCCGGTTTGGGTGGTGGCGAAAGGATGAAAGGACTCGACGGTGGTTCTGCGTGCGAGCTAATATCACGATTTTTCAGATCGACCAGGTTGGCCAGTTTGGATTTGTTGTTGTCCTCGCCGTGTTCGGCACTGGAAACGGAGGCTTGCTGAGGGCTGATGAATCCCAGATCTGCCGGAGTAGATGGTGCGGATGTGGCGGCAGCGGCTGCGGCTGCCGCTAGTACGGCTGGTGACGGTGGAGGTGGCTTTTCCGGTACGAGGTTGATGTTCGATTCGAGGGTTCTTTTTGGCCTTGGAGGTGGAACCGGTGGTGCCTTGAATAGGTGTTCCTTCCGTGGTTCGATGGCTGGGGGAATATCTGCGGGTAAAATGGAAATAATTCTTCATTAGTGGGGTGTTGTACCACTTTGACCAAGCCCATTTAACTGAATCTTCCTGCTAATTTCACGATCGTGAGCATTTGGTAGCAGCAAATTAGTTTTTATTTCCATTGATTAAGGTGTTACTTTAGAGTGTTTCAAAATAAGTCAATCGAGATTTTCAAACGCTATCCCCTGGAATGGTAGTTGGCGCTGTAGTTGATCGATTTTCTTCGTGTACAAAATATAGAACCTTTGGAGTAGGGTATGAGATGGATAATAACTAGGTAGGTCATGACTTTTCATACACTCCTGACAGTTGGTGAAAGGTCATTTGGATTCAAGCTGCTGCACGGGTAAGTTAAACATTTATTAGCTGCGTCGTGGGTGATTTGCCCGTAATTAATATCGGCGGATTTTCACATTGAGGACATCTTGGATGAAAACCGGATGTTAATCCGAGTTAACTCCGAAAAGTTATTAGCGTTTCAAATGAACACAACCTTCCTTACTTTTCGGGAGGGCCTAGGTACAGTACTTTCCCGTTTTTCGTCAGCCCCATCTGAAATTATAGGCTGACAAAAACGGGAAGCTGACAAAATCGGGAAATTTCCTTTTTCAATATTTTAACCATCAAAATGATTTTGAAATCAAGTTTAGCCATTATTTATCCACTATTAATGGAATTACTGATATTTTTTTACTATTCTTACAACAAAGGGTACACCAAACGTCTCGAAAAGTTTGCGTACGGTTTGTTGAGCCGGTACGTGTACTGTTCGATTCCTTAATTCCGCTTGGTTTTCATCGCTGCAACCAAGGCTGAACCTCCATATTTCAGTATCAACGAAAATACACTAGCCAGGAGCCGTCTCTTGCTACCGGTCCCGAGATGTTCGGTATGATTCTGGCTACCGTGTTGATGGCCTTCGACGCCTTCTCGTAGGCGTATTCTACGTGGCTATTGAAGCCAAACGGTCGTCGACCATCACTCCCAGGCATTTCTACTCGCACTTCTAGTTTATTGCGTGCTCTCCTACGGTAATTTCTGACCGCTGCAGCGCTTTAAAGTTACTGATCAATACCACCTCGCTTTTGTTGTGGATCTGCAGCTTAGCTCCATGTGTTAGGTTTCCAATCATGTCGCCAACATTTCCATCTATTCCAGCGTCTTGCCTGTTACCGTAAGACGACGTCGTCCGCAAAGCCAACGATCTCAACTCGTTTGGGTAGCTTCAGCGTTAGGCCGCCGTTTTAAATCACGTTCCAGAGCGTTGGACCAAGGATGGAGCCTTGTGGAATTCCCAGTGTGATCCTAATCGATCTCTGTCCCATATTTGGCTCGTAGATCAGAACCCGGTTCTGGAAGTAGCGTCGGCCTCCCAGCTGGAGCTGTTGAACGCATTCTTGACGTCGATCGTTATCACGGCGTAATATCGACCTCCTCTCTGCTTCTGCTTCGACGCCTTCTCGGCTCTCTCCACAACTCCACAACTCTTGCTCTCTGAACACGTCTTCTGGCTCTGAGACAACTAGCGTGGAGGGTGCTAATTGCCTCGTTGCAGCAGTAAGCTGGAGGCCGTCTGTTATTACGATCCAATTTCCTTAACATGGTCGTGTCACATGCTCTCCCTAACGATTCTGTCAACTCGTCTTCCACTTCAGGTCGCAAGTTCTCGTCCTCTCTACTGCCACAGGATTCCGTTGGCGGATGCCATATCGGATTGCCTGATGGTCACTGTGGGTATATCCTTCACACACTCTTCAATTCCTGTTTTCCATCAGCGACGGACTGCAGTCCGCATAAAGTGATGTCGATAATGGATTTCCGGTCATCTCTGCGAAAAGTGCCTTTATTGAACAGCCTAATTTCCAGCTTCCTCCGATGACTACCGGTCTTCGTCCGATCAGCTCTTCGGTAAGTCCAACCAGCGTCTCGTGGAACTTCTCCATCGTCCATCGGGTGCGTAGCAACTGCATATGAATATTCCGTTAATTTTGGCGATCACGAACCCTTCTTCTTGAATGGGGTATCTGCCCATAACTTGTATTGCAGCCATCCCAGCTTTATCCGCCACCTAGTTCGCCTTATCGGGAAGGACTCGATACAGCTGTGCAGTGTTACAATAATTGAGGTTTATTTCAGTTAGGGTAAATGTTGGCTTCGGCACCCATTGACTGTTTTCGGCAACCAAAATTTAAACGTTAATTTCACTATGTTTTCCCATCAACGCACTTCCCTGAATGTGTCCAAACGATTGTTTAGCCTTTCAGCTTCAATCTGATTATATTTGAACGATCGAGCAATCCAGTAATGCTACATTTTTCTTCAAATAAAGCATACGCACTACAAAATGAGGTTGATTTCGAGTTGCCGATAATAGAACAGCTGGTTAACACGCAGTTCTAATGGGAAGGTTGCCGAAGAAAAAGAGACTGCCGACAATAGTCACACTCACCTGAGAAGTTTGGAGCGTTGTAAAAACGCTTTCAAAACGTTTTGAAAAATTCTGTCGATTGGAATGGATAGAGAAGCAAGCAGCAGATGAATGTAAACAAACAGACACATCATATATGTGCGTGACGCTGAGAAAATGCTACTAGAAGTGCAGACGCTGCTTAGATTGACGAGAATACGTAAATTCCCCTACCTCTGTTATTGTTGCGACAAAACAATTAAGCGTCATTTGGAGCGAAATGCTTGAGAATTCATGCTTAAAACTAAAAAAGTTCAGCTGCTCATTAGCTCCGATGGTAACAGATGGTCCACCGGAAGATCCCGAACATCTGTAAAATTGATTGCTGTGTAAATTTGATCAAAGTAAGCTTTGATTTGTTCTGATTCTATATGGAATACAGTAAAATGGTGATTTTTGATATATTAGCTGGTCATTGGATCCGGTTTGGTAAATAGCAAACAACTTTGCAAAATTTCAACTTAATCGGTAACGGTCGAAGCCTCTCAGAGTCTCAGGAGTGCAGTGAAGTTAATAGGCATTCTAAGAACTTTGTCAAGAGAATTAAATACTTCGCAGGCTCAGTCGAGTAAGCTTTACAGGGCCAAGTTATCATTTGCGTTATACATTATTAATGTCTTAAATCTAAAATTAAAGGATTCGAACCGATTACTCGCGGTCTTCTGGAGGTTAGTGGATGACAATTGTATGGAGGGAAGAGGAGATTTGAAATATGATTTATGATTCAAAACTTTAACTACTTCTAAAACATGTACTTAATTCTATAAACGTTACATTCGCTCTGTAATTTATTCAATTATTGCAGAAACAAATATACAAAAGAAGTACAAACTAAATACAAGGTTAATCAAACTTAAAATCTATGGTTAATATTCTTCAAGAAAACATATATAAGTTGCATAAACTTCAGATCGCGACTAGCCAAAATATCCCGAACTGGAACATTAGGTTGTCTACCTCGAGACCGAAGGGAATTGTACAACTAGGATATGATTCCACGGTGCTCAGCATATGGCCAAATAATGTGATCTGCGTCCTGGTAACCTTGTCCACATTTACAGAGATTGCTATCCCCCAGTCCAACACGGAACAAGTGATCGTTTAACGAGGACATGAGGTCTCGACCCACCTCCAACCCTTTGAACCAAGGACTCTTCGACACCTTAGGGATGATCGAATATAGCTATCGTCCCAAACTCCCTTCACTCCATTTATTTTGCCAGGCGATTTGTCGATCGTAAACATCGCCTTCCATAGCGCCCACCGTTGCAAGCGAGTCTTCCTTCTCATTGCCCGGAATCGAGCAATGAGATGGGACCTATGCAACGGTGATGGCAAAATTTCTTAAAGATAAAGCACTTAGGCTGTGGTCCATTTGGTGAATTTTCACTTAAATTTGACACTTCGAAACTAAATTATAATGTTCGAAAATCCCTCTGTTGTTGATCGGCCAATTTTCGAGAAGGTGTGTGTCAAAATTGATTCCTTGTCTGTCAGATATAAGTCTGCTGGAATAGCAGGTTAATTTGGAAATTTTCCATCTGTCAAGTTTAAGTGAAAATTCGCCAAATGGAACACAGCCTTAGAAGCTCTCGTACTTTCATTTTTCATTTTCATTTTGCAGCGTTTGGTGGGGCAATGGGAGCGCAAGTCAATCCAATGCCGAGGATAAAGGACGGGTAATGGCTGAATAGTCTATGCGGACCACTTGAACGCCATGGGAAAAGGAAGGGATTGAAGAGGCCGGTTATTGGGGGGTTTTGAGGAAATGACACAAAGTACTAGATTTGTGATGCTAAATGTAAAGAAACCGAAAATCCATCTCCCACTGATTCATCCTTTCACATATATACCAAATTGATATTTTAAAGCAATAATCAAAATTAACAGACAACACATGAAAAGGCTAATTGCCAGTTGCTTTAAAGGCAAGTTGCCTCCCTAAGCGGACCCTCCGCATCCTAACTCTTCTGTTAATCCACTTAATGCTACTAGACTGTCTAAATTTTCTTATTTAAGTTCGTTTGATGATTATGATTCTCTAGTATAATTTAATAAATAATTGAAATCTCTAATCTACCTACCATGCTTTATTAAGTACCTGCACTTGTGAATGTAATCTAAAATTTAACGTGTTTCAAGTTGTTTTTGACTTTGACCTATATTTAATATACATTAGTTCGTCCCAGGTGACACCTTCATGTGACTAAAATGCTTCATTTTGAAGTTAGTTTCCTAGCTGATTTTTAAATTACATATGGTATATGCTCCAACTATGCTCACACGCTTCCACTATGTCGCACCACAAAAATACGTATGAGTATGTCACAATAGAAGCACGCCACAGTGGAAATCCCGAGCCATAGTTCAAACACTTATCCCAAATCAAAATGAAGCACATATAAGATTAGTTGCAATACCATGTACAAAAATGGTGTTTAACATTGTTCCCTGAGTAATACCTCAATGAAAACAACAACGAAAGCTTGTCACGCAAGTAGAAGGAGCACTGTTGGGCACTT